AAGTCCCTGATTTTGATGCTCAATGGTAATAATGCACATAAGAGTGAGGTTTTCATAGTGTATGCATAAAAATATATAATCTGTAAAGTCTGGGATACGATTAAACTCATTAAAGTACCTCTCAGAAGATCAAAGTTTGCCAGGTGTCATGTCCACCGATGAACTGTCACTAAATAAAGTGACAGTTCTGTTGACATAAAAATGCAGATTAGATTGAACCGTTCTATAGAAATTCTTCATAGAAATATACCTAAACTTAAGTTTTATTACTTTTCCTCTCTTGCTATGGTGAATCCATAAGTATACAGAATTTCGAACTCACTAGAAATTGATAAAAATAGTTTACTTGATGAAGTAAATTACGCCTGAATAATCTCCAGTCATTAACGTCTCCATTTACAGACTTCCGTTCATTCAAATAACTTAAAACAGACAGTACATTTGTTTCTCACTTTTAAGAGTACTCTACAATAATACAATTTGTATTTAGGCGAATAAAAAGTGGAGAATTGTTAGAGTAGGTGACTTTTTTTAGAAAAAACACTCGACTTAATTTTTCATCCTCGAATGAACAGAATCACTTCAAAATATTTAGTGAAGACAAATGAAAATGTATTAGTTCTCTTTCAGTCAATTCATACATTTTCGTATTTCATAACAGAATAAGTGTATCTTGGTTTTGATGTGGTTGTGTTCTCTGAGCTGGATAGTTAATTTGCGAAGCTTTCATCGCCCTACTGGGTGACATCTTCAGCGCATACTTCAATTTGAAGTGAGCTTCTAGATTTCTACACGAGTTTATTAATCATCCCTCCTAGTGACCTTGGGCGTGATTGGTTGTTTTTGTGTGTTTTCACACCCTCTAGGCTACTTGTATTGGAACTGATTGTTTCTTCAACTTGAACTTTGACCCTTTGTGTGTGAGGTTTTTTGCTTATCGGTTGATAAATTTTGTCTATCTCGTTGTGTCTACTGATTGATGATTCACTAGAATGCCAAGCTTCTAAAAATTCTCTAGCATTCTTGGTGTTTCCTCTGTCTAATATTTGAACGTTGTCCTAATCGAATTGATGTCCGTGGTTGTCTGTATGTAGTAATATGAGAGAGTGTATATCATGTCTTTTGACGACTAGCTTATGTTCGTGGATACGAAGACGAAGGGGACGTCCACTTCGGCCAATGTAGTGATTTTCGTAGTTGTTACAATTTATCTTGTAGATGATGTTGGTTTTATCTTCATTCGTTGTTGAGTCTTTTGGTTGACATAGAACTGAGTGAAGTGATTTTGTTGGTTTGTGTGCAACGTCAATTCTTAAAGGTTTGAGAAGTCTTGCAGTGATTTCTGAGATGTACTTTATATATGGTGGGGCTATTTTCTTTGTGCTTTCCTTGGGGGCTTTTGGCTTGATAGGTTGGATTGGGGGTATATTTCTCTTGGTCAAATTCCGTGGATATCCATTCTTTTAGAAGACGTCTATGAGATATCTTTCTTCAATTTTCCTTAAGATGGGAGTGCTGCAATGAGTTCTGGCCCTCTTGAATAATGTTTGTATGCAATTCCTTTTGTGTGTTATTAGATTGTTGCTGTTGTAATTCAGTATTTGATCTGTGTGAGTTGATTTTCTGTAAACTTGAGTTTCTTATTCTTTGTGTTTGTTCGCTCGACTAAGACGTCAAAAAATGGGATTTTGATCTCTGATTCCTCTTCTCTTGTGAATTTGATGTCGTTAAAGACGTTGATTATTAAGTTGTGAGTTTTATCTAACTCGTTTCTTTTGATTATTACAAATGTTTCGTCTACGTAACTTATCCAAATTTTTGGTTTGATCTTTAGTAGGATTATGTTTTCGAGCCTTTGCATCTCTGCTTCTGCAATCAAACCTGATATTAGCGATCCTATGGGTGTTTTCTGACTCGTTCATATATTTGGCCGCTGAATAGGAAGTATGGCCAAATTTGTGAACAAGTCAGAAAACACCCATGGAATTCCCAACGTCAAGTTTGATTAGGAAGGAAATAAATAATTATAAGAGTCTCCACTTAGTGGAGTGTTATTTTCCTCTCAGTTTCCTATTTTACTGTGTAATTTGGAACTAAGAGTCAATATATTGAATATTGTCATTGTATAAGTACAGAGACAAGAGATGTGGAAGTGAAGATACTTGTGGATAAGTGCGATCAACATGAAACCCTATCAGATTTGTTGCTCTCTGTTACTGTTTTGTGATTTCTTGGAACCGGAAATTCTCAGGATTTCTTAGCTAATCAGTACCTTATTATATTCAAACCTCTGTGTTAAGAGCTTTTCATAAGTTGTAAGATTGAAAATAAATGGTTTATTTTTCATTTCTTATTCACTAACTATGACCTCTTTGGAATATTAAATTTTACCCACAGATACTTCACAATTGCAGTGATTTAGCCCTTCACTGGTGTATGGTATTTTTGCTTTCGAATCTATCGGAGAGTTGTTCCTTATTTTTCTATTTTTCGATATCTGTCTAAGTAGTCCAGACTCAATTTCCGCTAGCCATACCCTCCTGAATCTCGCTTAGTTGGTTACGCTATCGGAGTCTTGGTAAAGAGGGTAAGTCTAGGGGTGAGGACAGTAACGATATCCCGTAAAAATTACCAATCCCACTGCAACAGAAACTTTAAAACTTGAAGCTTGAAGCCTTGTATTCCACTCGAAACTCAAGGAGGGAAAGCAATCTCTTGAATGGTAGTAATTGTTAAGTTTTCGAAATTACAGAACACTAATTATTTTATATATATTTACTGAAATGCATCAGGCAACCATATTTTATAATAACATGAAAAAAGCTTTAGTTTAATTCAAGTCACTTTTCTTAATTATCGGTTTGCAACCAATCTGGGTGTCGGCAACTGTACAGATTAACTTATATCGTGTATACTTACTATGGAAACATCCTACTTTCACTACTACCACTATTATTATGGTTACACAGAATAAGGAGTTCACTTGATTATATCATAATTTTGCTGAGTGTATAATTTACTCTGGAATATTGTCCACTGACCCAAGTCCCACCCTGTGTGCATACAAGCATAAATGTATAGATATATACCTCATGTTATTTTAGCTTTGTAAGAATAAATAACATAGGGGCATAAGATAAAAGTACATAGAGTAGTTTTGTATATAAATGTTCTCTCAGGAAACGAATTTGTTATTGATAACAGATCATTTTATGTAGTATTTAATAATTTAAATATAAGTTTTTTGTTTGATGATAAGACTAAGTAAGTAGAATAGCCTGAATTTAAGTTTCATGCCTATTAGTACCTGTAGTGCAGTTTACAATACCATTGGTAAGTGAACCTAGTGGTAAAGGGGATTTTGCGGGTGATTATTTGTTGCAGTCTTTAAGGAATTCCTTTATACCTAAGGAACAGACAATTCAGTTTGTCAGATATTGGGCAGATACACTGTTCGACCAATCGAGTGTCAAGTTCTTAGTGATGGACTCTGATGAATTATATCAGTCATGTCTACTATGTGGTTAATAAGCTACATGTCTGTCAAGCATGACGAAGTTTGGCTGAATTTTGGATGGTCGGAGGCTATCGTTGGGAAGCTCTTGACCCAGATTTTGTGTTTGTTGTTACTTGTTAGTGAGACGTGTCTGCCATCTCAAAAAAACGGTATTCCCTCAAAAATTCGGAACTAAGGAACTCAGTGCAATTCTCTGAGACGGTACCACTGCGGCATTCTGTCTGGTGACTGAGCTTCTGTCATAGACATATTGATCGGTAAGTAGAAAGTTCGAATCTATGAAAGAACACTTCTTTCAAGATAACAGATACGAATGGCAAGAAACACGAAACTTAAGTTCACATTCAACTGTCAAGCACCTCCAACAATCTAACTAGAAGTTAAAAGTTGACTGATCAAATTAGGTAAAAGGATTGAATGAACGATCAATCTTCTGAAGTTATTTTGGTTCAAATAGTAGAAAGGTGAGAGGAATTTTAAAGTTATTTACAACATTATCTGCCTAAAAATAATGCACTACACATTACATATTTTATTGGATTGTGTTATCATAAACTGCATTTTGTGTGAAACCAATCTGGAAATCTTCGTCACTCAACATCAACAACTAAATTCGGATTTTCAATACAAACGTCAGTTCTTCTATACGGATCAGAAACTTAGAGGCGGGTCATAAAGAATATTTCCAACAGGTTACAGACCTTTATCAACAAGTGTCTTCGCTCCATACTGAAGATCAGATGACCGGAAAGAATCACCAACAAGAAACCATGGGAACAAACAAAACAAGAACCAATCGCTCAACAAATATGCAGGAGAAAGTGGAGATGGATTGGACACTCGCTGAGGAGGTCGCTGGGTGACATCGTGCGTCAGGCCAGTGCTCGGGTGGAACCCGAAAGGGAAGCGGCGAGTGGGACGTCGAAGTGTGACATGGAGGAGATCATGTGAAGAGGAGCTGAAACAGTATGGAGTAACATGGACGCAGGTGAAAAGTACAGCAGAAGACAGAAGCAAGTAGAGACGTGTAGTTGAAGCCCTATGTTCCACTAGGAACCCAAGGGAACAATAATAATAATGAAAACTCGTAAATTATTTTGAAGTTGTGATAAAAGTTGCAAATCCCCAATCGGACTGATAAGTGTCAGGGATGATTGTCAAATGAAGCCATCGACAATTGTTTTGCAGGATTTTTCGGAACTTTTTCTTTTGACATTTCATTAGGCCTGCGATTGCAACATGCCCAGTTGTATAATTATTACATCTATTTACCAACTCTTCAAACAGTTATTCAGAGTTTAGTTCACTTTGAAATGCTGAGGCAGTATTAGGAATAGAAAGTATTTTAACAGTTATTATCTTTGGTTAATGAGTTATAAATTCAGTTAATAAAATAGATGATATGAGTATTGAATGTCACATGATGAATAATGACCAAAACTTATATGTTATGAAGTATTCTTTAGTACATAGAGTCACTTACCGACATCGTAGAAACATAACCAGTAGAAAAAATGTCGTCAATATGCAGCAACAAACGACTATTGTCACAAATGGAGCTGAAAATTAAGATAAAAAAGATTAAGTTAGTTTGAATTAAGTTGAATGCATTTCAATTAAAACTGCATTATACATTAATCATAAATGTCTTCAATAAAGAAGGAAAGGAAAATCAGATTTAAAGTATAAAATGATACCATCTTTCTACTTCACAGCTTCTCATCAGCTGCAAACTATCTGAAATCTCAGTGGTTATAAATAATGACAATAAAATACTTCAATGTTTGAACAGTAGTAAAGAAAACGTTATAAAATCAACGCATCCGAAATTTAAGCATTACAGATTTTGCTTTAGGTTACCATCAATTTATATGATTTCGAAATAGAAAAGGAAGGAGAGGGGGAGAAGATAGAAAACATAAAAAGCTAATGAGCAGTGTTAGCCCGTCGGTTTACTTAGCAACTCAAGAAGGTTATAGTTCATAGAATTGAAAACTTGTTAAGTGAACTGAAATCACTAATATGGATGATTAATCAATGTAATCAAAATGCAGTTGCCGAGGGAGTGAGAGATCGATTACAATCTCTGTCTGTAGGCATAACTTTGGTTTGAGTCGTTTGATTGTAATGGCTTTGGTAAATCTCAGTAAATTTTCTGTTCTTTGTAAATTCAATATTTTGAATGACTCAGAAATCTCGATGACATGACCTGTATCCACAAAGTGTCTGGTAATTACACTTTGTGAATATCTGCTTCCCTTTAAGCATAAGTTTCTTAGGATATGCTCTGAAAACTAGATAGAAGTTCCTCTTTGGATACTCATTTTCCCTAAGGCATTTTTCAACAAGGTGTAATTCTTCTTCCACCTTGTTAGGTGAACATAAATTCCTAACTCTGTTGTAGTGTCCTTACTAGCCCACGCTTACAGTTTATGGGAGAGAATATGTTGTACTGAAGATATTGTACGGTCCAGATTTCTTTTTTGTAAATGGTTCTTGTTGATTGTACCATAGTTTCTTCTTCTTGCATTAAGGTTCAGGAAATTGAACTCATCGTTGTGTTCATATTATAGAATGAATTTAGTGTTTGCGTGGATCTCATTAAGATGGTATGTGTGAATGAAATGTAAAAGCTTCTGTATTTGTTTACTACCCTGAAGTGACTGAAAAGCGCAGTTTTTGATTTCTTTGGTAACTAAGAGAATCAGTTGAGTGTCTATATCAATGAAACGAGTTGCTAAAATCTGTCAGTCACTTTATTATTATTTAGTACACAGAAACTGTAGGAAAGATGTTTACTCCCTAGTGAGAACAGCTCGGGTAAACTTGGCAAATTTCTTAATTTCCTTCATGGAATATTTAAACAAAATTCAGGGAGAAAATTATGGTCTAAATATGTTAGTTTCCAGAGAGGACCAGACAAAATTTTAAACGTTTAGATCATAGGCGTTGCAAATTTCCTCGAAATAATTTAAGCGCCAAATTTGGTGAAATCATTTAACTATTTAAACCTATTTAAAGTAATTCTAGCCTGCTTAGAAAATGAAAACAGCATTTTTCTGAACGTTTCACCGTGTAAGTGCCACAACCTTCAAAAGAATTCGTAGTTTAATTATTTTAGAACAAGACATCTAAGTCAACAGTACTGTTTTCAATCTCATCAGGCTTAAGTCTGATATACATAACTTTACAAATAAAAATTCCCCTGTAAGTCTTCGAATCTGTGGTACATTAAACATATATCATCCACACATGAAATCCAAATCCTCTAGAGTTTTTCTGTCAGTCCAACGCATTCCTGTCTTCTCATTCCTCATAGTCTGACGCATAATCTAGTCGACTACAATTAGGAATATCATCGGCTTCACTGAGTTTTGTGCTGTGAATCCCCTAACATGTGGCACTGTCATATAGCTGTTGAATGAAGTTGATACATATTTGGGTACTACACTCCATAGTGTTGAAGTGGCTTCCAAATTACTTCGCGTTCAACACAGTCGAAGGCGTTTCTAAAGTAGATGGAATTGAGATAGAGGTTCTACTGCCACTCTGTTAAAGTCTGTGTTCTTTGATGACTCATAGAGTTGCAATTTGATCAACACATGATTTGTCTTTCCTGAATCCAGCTGATCCCATGGGGTGGTGTTCTGCTTCCTTTATTCTCTCCAGGATGATGAGACTTAGTATTTCACTTGACGTGAACAAGAGCATGATTCCTCATGTATTAATAATATAAGCATAAAACTTGGTCACTGTGGTGGAACATAACTCCATTATGGATAAAATCTTATTTTGATAAAATCACAGAATGTTATACAGTAATATTTACTAATGATGTTTCGAGCACAAATTATTGCTCATTATCAAATTAAAGCACCTTGATAAATTCCATTTTTAGATGTCTTAATCAAGAGATCCGAGTGTACAGGATATCAACATACACAGATCAAATACTCAACCATAATAGCAATAAACCAGTGACTTACAAAAGAATCTGTGTGCAGACATTGTTTAAAAGAGTTCAAACGCACTGTAGCTCTCCAATTCTGACAAAAATATAATAGAAATATTTTCTATCTTCAAGAAAAATGAATACTTATACAATTCCATCAAAAAATGCTTAAACTCAAATCGAAACCTTACTCAAAGAACACAAGAAAATTCACACTACCATATATAAAGAGTATCTCTCAAATAATGGCTAGAATATTAAGACCATGTCAAATAGACATATCACACCACCCAACCCAATCACTTCATGCGATATTGTGCAAATTGAAAGAACCAACAGGAACAGAAGACAAAATTAATACCATTTACAAAATAAATAGTATGAACTGCAATAGACTATGCATTGGTCAAAGTTGGCCTTTTCTTGGAATCCGAATCCATTGTCATAAATTAGCTGTGAAAAGGCACGATATGTATTCTTTCAAATTAATGCATGTAGACAATCAAGGATACCAACTTTATTGGGATAATGTAGAGATTTCAAAAAGAGGAACATCAAAAATGCTCGGGAATTTTTAGAAGTCCGATACTCAGATGATTTAGAAATTAACAAATACAAAACTACACATCAAATTTACCAACTAATAAAAATAAATCTCATGACAAATCAGTAAAAATGATCAATGTAAATAGACAACCAATCACGACAGTGGTTGTCAGCTAATATAGTTATATCATTCATTCATGGAGAAATCAAACAAGTTCACTTTATATTAAGGCCTGCACTGAAGATGTTGTCCAGGACTACAAAAGCTTTGCAATTAAATGAACCAACTCAGATAACACAATCAAATCAGAAATAGTTACTACTGTACTTCCAGTAGTCTATTAAACATGATTTTGCTCTGATCTAAATGGTATAAGTATCAGTTAACTTCAGTTTATCTATTTAGTGTGCAAGCTATACAGCTAACAGATTACATCTAAAGTCATCTACGTTCACCTCAACAGCATAACGACGATGAAATATAAACTAGGAAGTAAATTTAAAATAAAGCGTGACGTTATTTGCTTATCAATGAAGCTGTCTATAAAGTCAGTGACCATTAGACAGAAAACAGAACTAAAATGGAAGTAGATTTATCTCCTATTGGAACTAGAAATGATTACGTTAAGAAATTCACTTACACGATATTTAGCTATAAGAATTTCATCTGTTTGAAATGCTATTCACATTCATGTATCATTACAATTGTAAATTTTAGATAAAAAATTATATAGTATAAAAAAGCGTTAGTCCCGTAGAAACTACACTAAAATAAGTAAACTGAGTGACGTAGTATAGTTTACAGGGTTGAGTAAAATTCAACCAAAACTGGATGAGTATCAAGTTAACAATATCGGTAATAAGAGGTAGAAATTTAATAGGGAGTGAGGGAAAAAATAATAAAATTGAAAAACGCAAAGAAGCAAAAATTAGATATCCGGTGTCAAGACAAATCAAGTCCATTGTAGATTTAGTGTCTCGACAAACTTCTTCTGTATGCAGAGTTCGGGATTTAACATGTGATTTGAGATTGCTTCTGCGGTTTGAAGAAGTTCAGTTCATACTCTTTAAGCAAGATTCCCGCGTATTTTGTGGATGACTTTGAAGGTGATTTGTGGGCTAACTTGGTGCTCTGATTCAATCAGGTATTCCAGACTATACCTGCGGGGGGGATTTTTTACTTTGTAAAACCATGAGGCTAAGTGTTTGATGATATTTTTGGATAGCAAATACTGGGTACGGCGGAGATACCTAGCTCCATATGAGTGGGTGAATTGATAGATAGATAGCCCATTAGTGGTAGCTTATCCGTCATGTTCATGACAATCATTGGTAATGTGTAGAGAGTTAGTCCCATTTCATCGGTGGAGAAGCTTTTCTACAATGAGCTGAACAGACGGTTTCTCAGTACCTCTGCCGACAAGCCTCCATTTAACACAAGGAACATCTGATCGAATCTGGACACCAAGCTAGCCCAATGGTTTGAACAGACTGCTGTTAGGTTTTTCAGCCTACAGATCTGCAACTTCACATGTGATCAAACCTAGTACCAACAAGTATTTTCAGTCAGCGTTTCGCTGATAAGCTAATTAATGGTTCTTAGCCTGCGAGTCTGCTCTGCTAAAGATTTCCTAACTGATGTGACATTATTATTTCTTTCTACTCTTATTTACAGTGTTAGGTGATGAAACGTGCCTTCAAACCAATCAAGTGTCATTTGGCTCTGTTAAGCTATAACCCGAAGTAATCCAAATCACATATTCAAATTTGGTGATTGCAGACTGTACAAATCAAGATGAAAATTCAGTGATTTTGAAATTACTCATTTAGGTGAAGCTCGAACATTGTAGATTCATTGGCAGTTATCCAGTCATAAAGAAACCACAATTTAGCATGATTACTTATTTCTTCTGATAGAGATCACAGTGAAGTCTTATCCCAAATCATGTAATTTGCTCTCAGACTAACCCACGTACACCAGATAATGTTTATGTCTACTAGACAGCACTATTGGCTAGTGTAAATAGTTTTCAATTATTATGAAGTGACATTTAAAACTTT